CTATTGCAGGGCTTTCAGGGATGTTTCTGAGTTACGGAAAGTGTGTAGTTGCTTTTGTTTGGTGTACTCTGTTCTAAGACCGCCTTTCCATTTGTTCACTGATGTCGCATGCCACTAACTCTCGCGTTCGTCCCAAGTCGTTTCTGCTAGCAGGTTCCCAACAGTTTCATGCACGTCTTCTGTTTGGGGACGCTGCGTGCAGAGAACTGCAGTCAGCTGACCTGCAGTGATGTTCAGAACTGATTGGTACTGAGGGAATGGTACCTATACACTCCTTATGAGATCAGTTTTGGCACATGAACACCAGAATGTTGTCCTGTTCAGAGGCGACAGGGAGTTGATAAGACGTTCTGAAAATGTTTAAACCGCTGTCTGTCGCGACTGCTAATTTCATGTCCATTGCCGTTTTAAGGAGACTGTGGGATTTAATCCGGAGGCTAACTATTTATTCAAGTCATATTTTCACAAAGACGAAGTGCTTCGAACGAGTCCTTTCACAGTTTGTTTCTTCCAGTTGATGATGACGTGACGGTGGGCAAGTTTTACGCCACCTTCCTGATACAAGATTACTTCAGGAAGTTCAAGAAGAAGAAGACGGACGAGACCTCCCGCGAGCAGGACGTAGACGAGGACTCGACTGCGGTCACATTGCAGGTGCGAAGCTCAGCTGTCAGCCCCTTGTTCGCCGCCCAGTCTCAGCTGTAGGGCTCTCCGCCGCCCAGTCTCAGCTGTAGGGCCCTCCGCCGCCCAGTTTCAAAACTCCCGCCGGTCAGCCTTAGTGGGAGTTTTGTGTAAATCAACTCAGTGGCCTTGGGTAGGGCATGTTGTAACTTTGCATAGTTTTATCATTACTTGTTGGCTTCATTAGTTGTCTTACTTCTACTCACTCTTTTCCGTCCTCATACTTTATCTGTCTCGGTAGCTCGATTGGTTACAGTGCCTGTGCTGGCATTCGCATACGCGTGGCGGCGTTGTAGGATCCGAGTCACCTTAAGCACTCGCTATTTGTTCCTGATTGAAAAGGCTTTCGGCTGGAGGCGGCGGCCGCACTTAAGATCAGGTGATGTCAGAGGGTTCAACAGACCATGCATTACGAGTATTACGGAGTCACAAAATTTTACCGTTGATCTGTTTTGAAACACGTTTTGCTTGTTGAGCGTTGTAGTCCTATGACTTATTATGAGCTAAAAGTCCTTATGTTCATTCAACAGCATTCAATTTAGTAGGAGGTTCTAGTTGAACGACGTCGTGAAGCTAGATAACGGTGATCTTGACGCTGCTTAATGTTTCGAGCTATGCTGCTTCACAAGAATGACACCAGCCGATAATGTAGCTGTAAATTATGGCTGGATTTGTCGGCGGCCTGAGATTCGCATGTATAGCTACGTCGTTTGGACATCACACCCCTGTCAGGACGAGTACAGCTGACTCTTGACCTACCGTGCTGACTGTGCTGACCGTGCTGACTGTGCTGACTGCAACATGCGGACTGTGCAGACAGCAACACTGGAGCATGAGATCAGCTCAAAATATTGGGTACTTTCAATATTAGCGTGATATAGCTTCACGGCACCGTTTAGCCAGTACCTACTTGTATTTTGAAGATCGTTAACTCAACATAATAACTTTGAGGCCACAATGTAGAAAAGCTAGAGTCCACTGCCTTTCTTTCTGATGCTCTAGAAATTCACCCAATGAAGCAAAAGCTCTGGATAAATCTTTAAAAGCTACCAAAAAACTGGTTTTTACGAGATGTAACGAATTGCTCTGGTCATGGGTACCCCCCCCCCCCCTTCCCCTCCCTTCCCCTCTCCCCTCCCCCTATTCCTTCCTCGTAGTGAGAAAGATGTAGTGCAGGCGGTAGCGACTCCGCGAGCCGGCTTGCTTTCTCTACGGCGGCTATTACTCGACAGGCGGGCCTGAGGACCCTGCACGAGGCCGGTCCAGAGCTGAAGAGGGCCATCTCTGGCAACCTGGATCAGATGGTGGCCGACGACAACCCCACGCACAGGGTCAGTGCTGCACTGCGCTCGCCTCCGCTCCTGACATCCGCAGCGGCTGCTGCAGCGCTTAAATGTCCATTGTCAGTGCTGCCACGGCGTTGATGACCAGACCGTGCCGCCTGCCAGTGATGGTGTCGTCTGTGCTACCCTGATGAGCAGACCGCACCGTCTGCCGGTGTAGGGCACCGTCTGTGCTACCGTGTTGATGAGCAGCTCGCGTTGTCCGCCGGTGCTTTTGAGATGGCGCTGTCTGTACTGGCTTGATGACAGTCCTCAATCCTCGCCGTCGTCACCGTCGTCGACATTCTTCACCATCGTCAGGTAGCACTGAGATGGCGCCCTATATTCTGTCGCAGCGATGAAAGGCCCGTGACGGAAGATGAAATGTGATGTGTGGAAGCAGCCAGGAGTGGAAAGAGGTGTTCAAACATCACGGTGATATTTTGATTTTTTTTGCGAATGCGATGCGTGTTTGCTAGTGCGGCCCCTTGCGCAGAGCTGCCTGCCGGGAGAGTTGCGCCGACTGCGTCTGCTTTGAGTGTCTCTGAAAGGCTCGCGCCGGCTGACGGCGTACCTCTGCCTGTCCTGGCAGAGGAACCACGTGCTGTTTGGCCGGGTGTGGTCCAGCTTCCGGCGGAAGAGCCGGCCGCACGGAGGCCGCACCATCCGGACGGCAGAGCCTGCCACCGTAAGGCAGCGCCCCATCGGCGAACGCAGCTGTCAGCGCCCCATGCCTCGGGCCACACTTGTAGGGTGCTCGTGGTTTTGGTGTTGTGTTCGTTTTTTTCGCTTAAATAAGTTTCTTGCTCCTGATGTATGAAAACACGCATCACGTGTGCTATGCCTGCGCCTGTCTGTTGCCCTTTTGGCTGGTTATTAAAACGCGTGACATGGGTTCACCTCCCACCAGTAACGTTTTGGCCTCCGTTTTTTGGGGCACATTTTCTCGCAGTATTGATATATAAAGAACAGTCGGTATGACGTGTGTCCAGGCACGTTTGTATTTCGACTGTCATCCGTGAACGGTGATACAAAAGGCTCGATTCTAAACAAGTATGTTACCTATATACGCATCTGGGGTACACAATCCAATCGATAACTAATCCCAATATGTGCCACATTCTGTACTCCAGCAGGTCACATTACTTGACGTAATCACTACATCCACGTCGTAACATGCTAAGAACGTGGCTTCGGTTAGCGTACGGACTCGACACTCCTTGTGCGGTTCATATCGCCTGCCTCCGTTTCGCTGCTGCTCTGTCTGTCTCCGCCCGGTCCGGACCGAACACAGCTATTAAGGTCTGGCTTGACACGCCATTGCCGACCTAGTTCGCGACCTGACCTGGTCGATCCACTGTGCGCTGCAGGCAAACTACAGCCGAAACTTGTTAGCACTCCTACCGCAAGAGGGCCGCGAAGTCCCGAGCCAAGTCAGCGTTTGACGCCGTGCTATGAGGCCTGACTTGAGCTGTTCTGACCTAGATTGGCTGGTGGCGGACCTAACCCGTCCCTTCTCGCTGACCAGGCGAACAACGGAGGCCACCGGCCGCTGTCATACAGGGAGAGCGACGGTCCGGCCGGCCCTGTCGACAGCATCCCCCTGCAGACACTGGACAGCGCCCACAGGTAACAGCCGCCCCTGCGCCGCTCCGCACACACGCCCAGGCGGCATACGCACGGCGCAGGCCTGCCTCTCCAGCTCCGGCGATTCTGAGCGCATCCAAAAAAATGTCGTTTCAACAGGTGCTCTGAGTACGAACAAATACAGGAGGTATATCCTTGACCGATGTTTCCATGCAATGCCATCTGTTCCTTCTTCATCACCTACCACTTGATCCAGCATCTTTCCACCGCTTTGCCCAGCCGGGGCGCACGCTGCGGCCAACAGTCACGAGTCGGGTAAATGCCAACCAGGCCGTAGCCCCGCCGGAGCACCCGTGGAAGCGCAAGAGAAGGGCACCTGTGTGGGGAAAGGCTCCCCACGGTTGCCGCTATATTGCCCACTACTCATCACGTTCCCTTTGCTACACCCCTGAAGTGGTTATCACTGGGCGAGAAGGCAAATCCAAATCAAAAATGTAATTTGCCTGTCGTTCGATATCAGTGACGGCGAACAGTTGTCGACGCATCATAAACGCGGAGAAACTGCTGAAGCGGTTCGAAACCGACAGCAGCCTGAAAAAGCGCTGTGAAATGCCCATGACCTCTCATGATGGCCAGGTATGACGTCAATCAGCCCAGGCAGACGGCCAAGCCGGTTGAGGATTTATATCAGGGCAAGCGAAGACAAGAAGAAAGTTGCAAATTCGTATGTCCGGAAGTGAACATCGCCGTGCTAACTGTCAATGACGCGGCCATAGTTCACTGACCTAGTCTGACATAAGTATTTGCTCCAGAATGTGTGAAATGAGCCTGCCTGGCATGGTTCGGAAGTTTTTCGGAACCCGGAGGGAATACTTATAACATTGATAGTTCCCTAGGTAGCAGCGAGTATCCATGCTGTCGTTGTTGTTGCCCCAATAGTATTGACACGTTCGTATCTTGACTGATCTTCGTGTGCCACATATGAAGTGTGAACGTACCTTTGTACTTCGTCCAGAGGTCTGCGTCTTTGCTAAGGTTACTCGTCTTTTATCGGTAACGTAAATGAGCGGGCCGGTTTTGCATGTGCCAACATAGACCTTAGGCTACACCAGCACAGGTACCAAATCGCTACCGTGGCATAGCCAAAGCATAGGTGAGAGCACCTCGCAATGTGGAACGCTCTAGGGCATCTTGACTTCTGCGGATGGTGTTCCCTCCCGGGCAGCATCTGTTGTTATGTTTGACAGGTAGTTTGTGGTGTAGGCGGCAGCTAGGTCTGTTTCTGCCGCCTACTGAACTGCCCTCAGTGTCATCCTGATGAGTCCATTTACAACGTCTTGACCTCGTGGTGCGATTTGGTTTTCTGCGCAGCGATCTGCTTTGAAGCACGCCTATAACGGCGCAAACGTGCAGTTCTTCTCCAGTAAATGCGCCGGTCTGCCTTGCAACAGGCGTCTGGCTAATGTACACGTACAGGTCGTCCGGTGGATAGGTCTGTATAATGATATATTAAGCAACCGCTTGGCAAAGTGACAACGCGCGGGCTTCTGTATATATGGCGGGCGTGACTGTGTTGCCTCATTACCATCCATCAATGTGTCTCACGCTTGATAACGCACATAACGAAAGTTATGAAAAGCTCTACGTCGCGTGGAGTTTTAAAAAATGCGTTCGGCATCTCGGACTAATACGGTGCTAATACGCAAGTAATCTTCGCATTCCATTCGCATTCGAATGATGTACTTTTCCTTTGCCCTCTACTCTGGTGGTCCTGCTTTCGCGATGGTAGCCATTTCAACAGCTGACTTTTCCGTATCCCATTCTGCTCATCTATTGCATAGCACCTGTCCGACATCCCTTCATGGCATTACCATCAAACTGCCCGCCTACCAAAAATATTGTGACCCGGACGCCTTGACTTCACAGTCGTGGTGTCAAAATTTTAGGCACACACTGCAAAACCCACGGCTTTGCATTGGGACTATCCATTGATTATTTACCATGTGTGTTACGAAGTGGGCATAACTGACCACTTTGAGAACAAAAACGGGGAAAGCATACATATGTGCGCCCAGTAGCACGTGCCCCTCCCCCCCCCCCCCTCCCCCTTAAGCTCCAATAGGTCCGAAGGGCCCTCGGAAACCACGATTAAGGGTTCGATTGGAGGGCCTAAAGGGCCCGCAGATCCCGCCACTCCAATACCAGCCAGAGGGCCTTGTGCGCTGATCAGGGGCCCCTGAGACGATAAGGGCCTATATGTTGGTCAAACACCATCACCAACGCACGCAACGCACAGTCGGCTTCGTGGCGGCATGGGCCTGAGGGCCCACTTCCTAATCAGTTATAAAGCCGGGGACAGTGATTTACACTGTTCGGGGCCCTGATATCTGTCAAGGGCCCACAACGCCTAACAGAGAATCCTATGCTCAAAAGGGGTCCCTAGTCGACCAAGAGAAGTGTTCGATGGGGCCCGAAGAGAGGCCAAGCGGCCCACCAGAGCCGACGATTAAAGGCTCAATTGAAGAGCATAAGCGCCCGAAGGACTGGCTGTGGGTCACATAGAAATATCGTGGTCTGCAGGGTCGTGACCTAAAATGTCAATCAGAGGTCCTCTTGCACCGTTTGACGAATCCCTGAGACAATGCGTGTGTCTAAATCGGTCAGAAACCACGAACACCGAAGAATCGGCTCTATGTCCATCCGAGACTTTTGAGACCAAGCGGAACGAGGTCGGGATCCCCGATTTGCAATGCTCGGGGTGCCTGACACAATAAGGGGCTCCTGTAGTACCTGACAGGGATCCTGTTACGGCGAGTGGCCCGTGGTCGAAGCGGTGTTTGAAGCCGGCCGAAAAGGGCCCAAAGGGTCTCTCGAGGCCAAAGACAAAAGCCCGATTGGAAAGTTGAAGGGTCTGAAAGGCTGGCTGTAGGTCGCATTAGGGAACCTCGCCCGTGGGGCCGTGATCTCAGATGTGAGTTAGAGGACCTCTTGCACCAACTGGGACCCCTGATACAGAGCGTTTCTCTATTTTGGCCAGAAATCACCAACAATGAACAGCCGGCTCCGTGTTGATCTGAGCTCTGAGAGCCCATTTCCCAAGCAGGGGCAAGACCGGGCCTGCGATTTACATTGGTCGGGGCTCTTGTATCGTTCAGTGACCCACATTGTATTTATACTGTGCCAACAAGGGGCCTCGGTTCGGTCAGTGGAAGATTTGCTCAGCAGGGAAGAGGACGAGACCCAAATGAAAGAGGGTCTCTTGCGCTGGTCGGGGCCTTCTGATAATGAAAGGAAACATGAGAACTTATGAGTGCTCACATTGAGGCAATGGAAGAGTCTTGTGTCCCTCAGGGCTCCCAACACCTAAAGGTGGGCCCTCGAAGCCAATTCCAGCATGGGCCCGTTAAGCCGAACTGGAATCTATGTGGCCAATTAATTGAATACCTGCGGCGATGAGGCATGTTGTTGCGTCGATGATGATTCCTGTGTCTATCCGTGGTCAACCGCGTGGGTCAGAAGACTTCCCACGTCAGGGAGGGGAACAATGTGGCATGGTATATCCCTCTAAGGGCCTCCAGATCGGTCATGGGATCCCGTCCGTATCGGCAGAATGACAGCCGAAAGCCACTCCGCGTTAGGACAGAATGGCCGAAGCAGTGCGGCCTATGGAGGCTGCAACTCCTGGCGTCGAGGTTTTTGTTGCCAAGATAAGCAAGCGCATATGCTCAAAACTACATACATAAGTTGTATCTCTAATCAATTCTGATTGAAAGCTGAACATTTACGGACAAACATGGCTTGGTCATGTTAATACAAACTGTGGACGTGTTTTGAGAGTCCACTACACCATTGTAAAATGGAGTGCGCCGGCGATTTATTTCATGCAGCCGTTAGCGCATGATTTTGTTCTGTCAAATGACTAAACTTCAGATAGAACTGATCTCCCTGCAGCTTCTGATTTTTACTCTATTAATACTAGGTAAAAATAAAAAAATGTCACAGAAAAAGCATACCCTCGTTAACAAATGGGCCCTATCCGGTGATTTTTGGGGGCTTCTTACTATCAGGGAGCCATTTGTCAACCATGCCCCTCCCCCCGTCAAGGCTCTGGCTGCGCGGCTGTGTGCGCGTACTGCATGTGTGCGCACACGTGAATCCTTCGAGTAGAAAAAATCAGTCAAAGCGTCTTATTTTCTACATCAGATATCGTACCATGCGAACACTCTGTAGCTGCCGTCATGCAGAACAAAATGGGTCGGGGTCAAACCGATTGAGCCTTTAAATTGATATTGTAATGAAGGAAGGTCCAACGCTGAATAAATGCATTGGTGTGTGAGACAAAATGCAGGACAGTTTATGTATCATTACACTTGCACTTACGACGCTCGTGACATCACTTGCCCTCATATGACGAGATGGACGCTTTTTCAGAAAGACAGCTCATTTATTGAGCCCTGACTATGGTAAGCTGGCCCTGAACGTGCGCCCAGCGATCCCGGCTTACCGTGTCTGTCGTTGTCTTCAGCTCATCTCTCCTTCTCCCGGTCCACACTGCACGCGCCGGCTTGTTTTCCGTGTGACGTCCAATAACATGCCAGCTGACCTGTGCCTCCGCCGACTGGACTTCCGAGTGTGACGCCCCTCGGCGGATCCTCCGGTGCTAACGCAGTGATGCCTGGTGTGGCGCTAACACTGGCACCTGGCGGCTCCGCGCAGGGAGGGCAGTAAGCCCAGCAGCTCTGACCTAGACGACGGTCGACGTGAGCCTGCTGATCGGCAGCCCTTGGGTGTGGCCGCTCAGTCACCGTCTTCGCCCGCAGCGCAAGGCACAGTAGGTCAGCAGTCGTTGCGCTGGATCGAGCTCTGTCGGGTGTATCGGTGCCGCTGCCCGCTCCCGTACCTCACGGTGCTTAGCTCATTCTGCCGGCCCTCCTTCTGCAGTCAACAGGTGGCGGTACATCATATGACCTCAGTCCAAGTTCAGGCTTGCCACCAATCATTTCGGACATACGCTGCCCCTCTCCCCAGTCTATAGCTGGGTAATAGTTTTAAAAGCACATCTGTATCGCTATATGTTATTTTCCTACTCTGCAGCGGTGTCTTATTGGCTTGTAACATTCTGTTTGGGTTTGGAGGGACGACTTTTTAAAGCACCAGCTCAGGCCAACACACCTTCTTTGTTAAATGCAACATGGACTGCCATTCATTTCAGCAGACAACATAGTTGTTTATTGGCGTTTGCGGGCGTGTTGACTGAGGTGGTCATTTGGCGCTCATAGACAACATAGAAACTCCATGAACGTGCTTCCCTCGCGTCACTTTTTCAAGATTCTGCTCGGGAGAGTTCGTGTTCTGTAAAACATTAAAGTGGGATCATCTTTTACCTTCTACCACTTCTACCACAGCTTTTTCAGGTAGTGCAGTGCACAATATGTGAGGATATGTGAACGTGTGGCTAGCACATATTGATTTTGCTGGCTGTAGAAACTTGTATCAGTAACAGCTCACTTATCATCCATTCCTTGGGTATGACACATCATATAATAAGGCGGACATAACGCTATTCATGCGCATATTCCCCCTCGAAGACCACCGACCTCAGAAAAATGATTTTAGACCTTCGCAACGCAACTGGTGCACGGCAGCATTTCTTGCTCCCTTTCCATCAGAAGTCAGATGTATAAATCCGTATTATAGGTAGCAGCCCGCTGTTGCCGGTCGCGGCAGCCGCTGCTGGCTGATTGTTTGGCTGCTGCGTGGCGGCTGTGGCTGGTTAGCCATGGGCCGCGCCGGCTGACAGCGGCACGTGGCGCCATGTTTCAGCCGACAGCGGCGGCCGGCGGCCTGTCGCTGAGGTGACGGCTTCGCAGCTCGGCCCGTCCCACTCCGTGTCCGCCAGCGCGCTGCCAGCGCCGGCGCCCGCCCGGCCCCAGCGGCCGCTCTCTGAGACGGCCGGCTCGGCCGAGAGCCTGGTGGCTCAGGTGCGTGTTGCGGCCAGGCCACATGTTCGGTGGCAACGCTGCGCGAGGTGATGCGATGGTCATGATGGCGCCCTCGAATGAAACAGCTCTGCCGGCAACTGCTAGGTGAAATCGTCTGCAATAAGTTGCGGGTGCTGGCTTTTCCTGAACCTGCTGTACTGGTTTGATGTGGATGAGAAATAGTTGATGCCGACACTACCACGTGACATAACGTAGAGCACAAGACGTACAAAGTGCGATGCTGCGACAGCGCCTTTTGGCATGTTTCGGTCGCACTGATCTACAGCTAGCGGCCGGATCCGGCGCCACCAGCCGACTGTGCGGCTGGCGCCCGCGGCTAGGCTGACCCACCAATCTGTGCCGGACAGACGCTGGCCGGCCACGGCCTGGACCGCTTCTGTGACGCTGAGCTGGTGCGCGTGGCACGGCGCGAGATGCAGGAGACGCTGCAGCTGACCTCGGACCAGTTCGACCGGGCGGCGCACGCGCTGCTCACGCGCTCGCCCTCGCCCCGGTAGTGCGGCCGGCGGCCGCCGCCCGCGCGGTGGAAGTGCCTGGGCAGTGTGGCGCTCGAGCGGCGCCAGCGTAGTCTGCCGTTGCCGCCGCCGCCGCAGGACACAGCGCCGTCGTGACCGGCCGCGCTGACGTCGACGCCGGGGCGCGGAGGAGCGCCTGGCCGCCGCCACCGCCGGCGTCCAACGACGGGCCGCCACTCAGGGGCGGGCTCTGCAGCGCGCGCTGCGCTCCCCTGTGCCTCGGGCTCGGTCGGGCCCGCTGTGCGCCGTCTGGTTCGCTAGGCGCCCGCTGCCCGCCGGGGCGCCTCTAGTCAAGGGTTTGTTGTACAGCTCAGCGTCGATCGGAGACGTCAGTCAGCAGCAGGCTCGACCATGATATGTCTTTCCCCGACTGCGACGTGCACGTCTGTTCCCATCCCCAATACGATGTGCATCGGTCTGGGTACATAACTGGCTGGAGGAAGTGCCTGGACAAAAAAGCACAGCACACTGCTCTTCTTTTTGTTCGGTCCGGGTTGGCTCGTTTTGATTCCTGGTCGCCTTTTATGGCATCTTGCGAGCTGTAATGACCAGTCGCATCTCTTGCGTGAGCCATGGATCGGTCAGGTTTGTCGTTTCTCCGGAAGTGTTTGGCCACCACTTGTGATACGAAAGTGTCATATGTAGGCAATTGATTTATTTGCAGGGTTGTGGTAAAGCCGCACCCTTTTGTCCCCGATGGCGGGTGTTATTTGGTCACTGTGCGTTCTCGACCGTTCAGGTTTGTTTATGAACTGCTTTGTGCTGGGAAGGTTTGACGCGAGGACGGCGCCAGCGGCCAGGATTGGGCGTCCATCAGCTTTTTCATTTTGCACGAATTTGGGAGCCACCGTCGTGCTGGCTCCTCCGCTTCATGCGCAGCCGAGTGAGTGTGATTTGTAATAAATACGCGTATTGACACAATCCATTGATTCGACCGTAAAAAGTCATTATGCGCTCATTCGCGAGTGATATGAATTTGTGTCTTACTAGCTGGCGCGTTGAGGTTCCGCCACGAGTCAGCCATCTTGCGAAGCGGTGCCAAAGTGAGTTGACTGTACAGGACAGGCGTCGACAGGACAGGCGTCGACTGTTCACGACAGGTGTCGTGACGTGTCGGGACGCACACGGCGTGCCATTGTGATACCAGGTGGAATACTCACCGTACCGCCGACCGAACCCCAATCAAAACGGCCCGGGTGAGCGCGCGCACATGCGGCGGTGCCGTGCCGCCGCCAGCTGCCCCCTGCCGTGACACTGTCTCGGGTCGCGACGCGCCAGGGCTGGGTCGCGATGTGTCGGGCGCTAGCCAGTGTCGGCCGTGCCCTGCCTGATAGCCGCCGCCTACCTCCGCCCCTGCCCCACCAGGGCAGTGCGGTCTTGTCGAGCCGGGCGCCAGTTTTGTGCGTGAGCGTGGGAATTTGTATAATTCTGAGAGGAGTTCTTCACTACAATGACGCAATACATGTGTCCTCCCGGATAAGGAACGCGCTGTGTCCGGTATTCATGGGCTTACGGACATGGAAACTGAAGTTCTACGGCGCACACCGCAGATGGGTATAATGAGAGACGCCCGGTGACACTGCAAGAAGAGGACGGGACCCAGCAAACAACTATGTGACCTGCCGCTACATCGGAACAGGTCATTGGTGTCAGCGTTGCTATATGGTGACACAGCAAAATATGCGCTGGCCTTTGATCACGTTGTAACAGATGGTGTTCTCAAAGTGGAATGTTGTTATGTAGAAGCACTGGACCCCGTAGCATCGGAGGGCCTACCATGCTTTAACACAATCGAGCATCGTACATGTCGCGTACACGGGGCGTCTGAGCGAGGGGGAGTCACCGTTGGAGACGTGACGTCATGCGCCATTTTCGCCTGCACCTAAACACTTGCACACACGCCGAGTTTTTCTCGCGGACAGTCCTGATTGTGCCCTCCGAGGGGATTCCGCACGTGCTACGGGACGCGGGTGGGCGCTTCGCTGCACGTTTCCTCACCAAGTCATTCACACAGCAGCTGACGTTCTACGGCGTTACCATGGTTTTGATGACCACGCCGCACAAGAGCTGGTGTGTATAAAATGCCGTGTTGGCCATGATTTTATGTACCGCACTCCGATCAATTTCAAATTTGTATGCGTGAAATCTCTCACGTTTTATCAATGTAAACCGTTGCGCTCCACCGATCATGTCAAAATCAGAGCCACAGAAAATCCGCGCAATGAGGAATGTGACTTATTATACTTGTTCACCCCGCCCGCTCCTGTCGCCGAATTAACAAGGCTCTGCTTCTTGTGAAGTTCATCAGTCGCACATATCGCCCGTCAATTCAAGTAGTATTCATCTGCACGCTTCCAGCTTGATAAGAAAACAGCGTGCCCATTTACATGATGAATGCATTATAGACCGAATTTTAATACAGTATGGGTACAACAATCTACAACATGTTCGTGATTAAAACCCAAGGTCGTGTGACGAGACGCGAATGAGGCAAATGATAAGAGGATGACCGCCGCAGTGGGCTGAGGCTGGCGCTTATCCAGAAACACAATGCGAGGCGAGCGGTTGTTCTACAGCAGTGCTGTACAGCAAGTTTCACACAGTACAACACATCCCACAACACGACCCGGCGTCCACCGTTACAAAACATGATGCGAGGCGCGAGGGGTGGGTGACACCACCGCCGACGCGGTACGTAAACAACAGAAAACGATTGTTTGACGGCTGGCACGGCCCCGGCCGCCGGGCCCCGGCAGCCAGGCGTCGCCCCAGTCGCCGGGCGTGCCCTGTACATGGCGACACGCGCCCGTTGCGCCGCTAGGACGCCGGCACGACCAGACTCAGGCCGGCGCCAGCTCTCCACGGCTGGCACGTGCCAGCGTGCGCCGCCGGCCGGGCCGGGGCCGGCGGCGCACGGCCCCGGAGCGCTATCACATGAGCGGTCCTGGCAGTGGCCGGCAGTTTTGATTGGCGGTCGGACAGACGGGAGCGAGCAGTCGACCTCAGGCCTTGACCTGCAGCTCGGGCAGGCCGTTGGAGGCCTCCGAGTGACGGTCGCTCTCCGAGAGGCTGCTCGTGTCGCCCGTGGAGGCGCCCGACGCGCCCAACTTGTCCTTGGCCTTGGCTCGAAATTCGGTGATGATGACAGTCACGTCGTTGATGGTGACGGCCTGGTGGGTCGGCTGGCTGCGGTCCACGCCACGCAGCCGCGACAGCCTGGCGGCGGCGGCGGTCAACACAGGTCAGCGGTCCGCTCGCCGACCCGCGGCTCATGCAAGGACGTCACTCTCGCGCTCAGCCAGACACCAGCCGCGCTGCAGACATTGCCATACCACTGCCGTCTCGAGCTGTCGTGTGGAGCGCAAACAGCATAACCAGCCTGAAGGGGCTGCACAGCATCTGATGGATTAGCCCAGTTAGGGTAATCTCACACAATATGCAACACCTGCACATGTCACTAAACTTCCAATCGCAAAGCTGAGCATTGTCCTGGAAAATGTGATTGCTTGAGGAAAGTGAGATAATCACTGCTGAGGAGCATGCCTTATAATTGTAAGTTGTCTTACATTTTTATTGAAACACAAAATGGCATATAGTTACTACCAGCAATGCCAACTTACCCTTTCAAACCTTTCCCATCCTTCTTATCCAACCGCTTGGCTTTCGGTACGGGAGGCGTGTATGTCTGAACTTGCTGGATGTCTTGGTTAAGACGTGGTTTTCTGCGGTGGGAGAAGATTGAATGTCCCTAGTGCACCACAACTGTTTGGTTGTTTATTGAAGCTTGTGGCAACCCCAACAAATGTAACCAACTTCAGTCAGTCAGTGCACCAAATACAAGCAAAAATGTTGAATTTTAGCTACATTTGAAAATAACCAAACTGGTAATCTTAAAGTGCATTGTGTTGCATGTAAATTATAATTATAAATGCTGATGTTTCCACTTGCTGATACCATCAGCAAAAGAATGACTACCCTGGCAGGACAACCATGTTGACCATGTGTGCTGTCAATACATTCAACAGCAAAGGAATGACTACCCTGACAGGACAACTGTGTTGACCAAGTATGCCATCAATACATCATTTTGATTCAGACCCTTACAAACATGCATGATGGGTGTGTATGTATGGATGTACATAGCTGATAAGGTCTCTCAAAAATAAATTAAAGCTGAACAATTTGGCATCACCAGTGACTTACCTTGTTGATGTGCCTTTTCTGACATCACACATGAGACATTTGAAAGCTTCAGCAGTGTTTTTGTAGGTGCATACACTACAGTCCCAGGAGTTGTCATCCACAGGCTTTGGCACACGTTTTCCTCTCTTTCTGAAATGTAAAAAAAAAATGTTAAGGCGAGGCAACCAGCTGATTTTCATACCTGGATTAAAAGTATTTTTTTTTTAAAGTGAAAGCATGCTAGTTACAGAAGCTAGCATCATTCACAGCAAAGAATAGGCATCATTCAGCTGACAACACATTTTATGAGCACAATAGTTATATCTGAACAAAGCAAGCACCTCTGAATGAGACACATGAGGCTGCAGAAGTTGCCAGTGCAGGGCAACCAACTGATTTTCATAAAGCTGACACATGGAATGTGGTATATATCAAAGTGGTACATGAGCTCTTAAAAGTGTAATTGGCATACAAGTCAACAAACATGGAGTGTGGTAAGATACCTGAATTTGTTTTTTAGTGAAGAACATAATACCCACCATCCTACATCTTTGTATGAAGCACCAGTGATTGCATATACCATATTACTGCCCAGAGGCCATGGATGCACCAAGGTTTGAACCTGCCCCTCCCTACCACATGGGAGAGACTTTGTATTCAAAGCTTCAGTGGTGCCCTGGGCCATTAAATTACTGTTGCTTCACATCCAGGTTACAGATAATAACTCTAGAGTTAAAGATGTTCCATAATTGAAAATGTTTGAAGCAGGCATCACATGTGATGTAATAAGCTCACTTATAACTATTTGCATCCTTTTAAATGGAAGTCTGCATCAAACAAAACATTCATATATTTAGACATATGCTTCTAAACATGCCATTGTTTGATTGTCATGAAACACTTGCTCCACATTGTGCTGCCAAACTAGCTGAACAAAATTGCCACCCTTGCACCCACATGCAGTACTTTAACTTACTGAGAGATGGCAGTGGCTGTGCTTTAAGTGCTCATGTGCCAAACATTGTTTTCTGGCAATTTCTTGCAGTGTTCTTGAATATTTGTATGTCAGTTTAAGAAGTTTAACTGTACTCACATGCTCACTATTTTTAAGCCATTTGATTACAAGCCCAACTAACAGAACTTGCAGTCATGTCCAACTTTTAATATGTTCAGACACAAAACATGTTTTGTGATAGAAACTTACACAGTTTGGCCAACATAAAGGAAGCACCAATTGATGTCCACTATATTTGAAAACTGTGCTTAATGACATCAGATTTGGACATCTTCGCAATAGTAATTTTGTTGGCTTTAAATGCTGCATAAGCTATGCATGGGGTATGCATAAGCATGGGGTAGCAGGATTTGACTGCCATTGTAATGATATCATGCATCCCTGAATGTCCATAGTCTAAACATCTGCACAAGTGTGCAGCTCAAAAACTAGTATTTTTTGTGTTGAGAAGGGCCCTGCTGCAAACTACATGACATGATCTTATGATTCATTTTTAGTTCAAGGTCCTGTATGAATGTAGGGCATTCCCTTTAATGAGATGATACCAAAACTCAAGCTAATGAAGCAGGATATATTCTGCAGGTGACAACAACTTTGTAAATTAGCAGGCAAGCATCCAGCGATGCAGCAATGACATGAAAATTCAAGCGTAGCATTCAGGGGTATAGTTTCCAATTTCAGCTTGATTTTCTTTATTGCTTTACTGCTAGCTTTAAGAAAAAAACCCAGAAAATCTGGGAAGCAGCCCAAATGACCACAGTCTTTACACAGCTTGCATTGTTTTTCACTGCTGAGCTTCCCCCCAGCTCCTTCATTAACTAATCCCTTTATAATATTGCTTCTAAGTAACAAGCTTTGGGGTAATACATCTCTATTAGATTCAAAAATGGCCAACTAATTGCCATATGAATAGAAGATACTGGAAGGTGAGAAACCAAGTTAATGATATAAACTAAAACATACAAATTTGAAACCTAGAATCCAGCAAAAATAACTTGTTACGAAGAGAGTGGGACCAGAAGTAAATTTGCTTACAACTTAAACTGATGCAGTAAGATAAGTGGGAATTATTGGGAATGTTTAACTAAAGAGCAGATTAAACAAGAAGCCTCTTCAATTTATCAAGAAGATTAGGTCTATAATGCCACCAAAACTGATCCAATCTCCTGTAATCCATTCACAATAAGCATATCCAATTCCAATTTCAACTTCTTTAACTGAAATGACACTGAAGAAAGCAAATAGTGACACTGGAAGTAAACCAGGGCTTAACCCAGAGTGCCCAGAATCCATTCACTGCTTCAGGTGCCTACATGACACCTCATGCTTGTTCACCCCAAGCTCAGACCAGCCAAATTATGCGGAATTTTTAACTCATTTATAATGCAAATTTCATGGAATGTTTGTCAGAAATTACCTGCAGAGAATGATAGTTGTTTGAAAGTGACATTATCCACTAACCTCGATGGCAGCTGTCCAACAAACTTTGGGTTATCTAATACATATGTAATACAAGCACTGAAATTACTGTGTTGTGGCTATTATGCCAAAGAATCTCAGCACATGTAATTTTCAGTTTAGGGTGTAGGTCCCAAACTGATATATGGAGCACAAAACCCAGCCTAGAAATGGAAAACATTACACACATACATTCCATTGAAAAATTTGGAGTGAAAAACAGCAGTTCGCAAAAATTGAAGTCATCATGCCATGTGATTGCACTCATGGCCAGATATGGTTAATGCTACTTTATCATCGTTAGATTTCCCAAACTTTCAATAGTGATTCAAAGTTTGCACTTAACAGAACACACAAAATGGCTTGAACATAATGGTGATCCCCATCAATCTCTAAATTTGCAAGCATTTGCGACTCCAGGAAAACTTTTCAGAACAAAGGGTGCGTCCCGTTCGTCACCATTTCACATGTAAGCAACTCACCCCGCAGGACTTTCTCTTCGATCCATCTCACATAGGTTTGAGGAGCTGTGCTACGCGCACATGTCCCGTTATAACTTGCAACAGCTCCGGGAAGAACTATTACAGCCCAAGTTGCCAGCAATATCCCGCCACCCCAACACCGCACTGAAAGACGAAAACAAAACAACTAGCTGGGTGCGATCAAGGATAACAAAATTTATAAGATGCTAGTTAATTGGCTGCCGTAGCCGGCCATGCCGCTGCAGTCACAGGCATCCTCCTTTTATTTGCTTACGCTACACGGACGAAGTAATTTGTTCTGCGTGACGGCTCGTCAAAGGTGGATCCAGGGGAGATGAATGTAGCCATTGCTCCCCCTAAGGCCTAAGGGGTCTATGAGAAGCCTTGAATGCAAAGTGCAAAAATTAGACGTCTTTGGGCATGAGTAGTGACGTAGTTTTGTCAGAATAGTTAGGGGCTGAATTGTGAGTGAAAGGAGAAGCAGCCTAAGCCCAGCACTAACAAACAGGTTTCTTCCTGGATTTAGTCCACTCTCTTCTCAAAGTGGGGAGGGGGTGGGTGGATGTCATGTTGGGGGGTGGGGATGGAGCCCCCCATTCCCAACTGAATAGGAAACTTTACCCTGCTTGGGGGGGGGGGGGGGGATGGAGGACGCCTTATCTACAGCTTCCATAATGGGCGGAACTGTTCCCACAATTTCAGAGAGATCCGAGAAAGTGTTGCGGCATGTGAACAACTTCTGTCGAAGCAAGTCTGTCATGAACATGCTTTCTGTCTATCAAGAGAACCGAGAAAAGAACATGGAACCGTGCATTTAACGCTAAGCGTAGTTGGTACGCATCTTACAACATCGTGGTGATAGGGAATAGAGCTGGACACTACGGAATGGGAAAAGGAAGCACAGGATGAAGGGTCATGAGACTAGACGGATGCGGGTGGAGCTTATGGGATAAGACGGGACTGGACGATATCAGATGAAAACGAACGAGACCTGGTGGCATCGGATGAAACCGAAAGAGATGGCCGAGCCGGACTGTGCTACCAGTTTTGGCGATATGGAACTCCCCGTCATTTTACCTTGAATTGAGCCGCGAAAGGTTACGACTATATTTCTGACGCTAGTTAATGTAGTGTTAAATGTTCTTTTGCTTAAACACCTTAAATTGGTCGGTAACATTTGAGTGCGATGGGATTTCGTTCACATAAACCAGAAGTGGACGTTGAAGCGTGGCCTTGAAATATCAAGACTTGTTGACAGACGCCAAAACTACCGTCAAGATGAATGATAGTTCGTCACGTGGGAATATTCTGGTGTTTAATAGTTAGAAATTAACTGGCTATGTTAAGGTGATATCGAATTCCCGGATACGTTACGCGCCGTATTTCACTATTTCAGGAATGCATCGCTTGTTCCGTTTGCTTGTGCTTTCTTCAGCTCTCTTGCCTTAGCTCTAACTCTTGGCGACACCCCTCCTGCTGGCCGTCTGCGTGACAGGAGAAAGGCACCTCATTTCTCAGCGATATTTTCCTGATCACCCAAAGGATTTCTCACCGACTCAAAACAGCAAACACGAGAATCCCAATGCTCAGCTTGCATAAAAACAACAAGTGTCATGTGTGAGTCAATAATCAAACACAGCTCCTGCATGTTTCTTTTTTTAGTTTGCGTACTCGCACATCACATTGTATAATGTATGATGTTTGGATACGTTTACAAATGTTAATAAGCGAGATAATAGGTCCACTTTATCGGAGTGACCGCGTTCGTGAAAACATTAATTTAGTTGTTAAGTTAGATGTGTGTGCAAAAAATGATAGGCGGCATATGACTCTTTTTTACTTGCCGTATTGATGATGTCATTGGGGCTCTGCAACGCGCTTACCTGCTTAGACTATATACCATCATGTACCACTATTCATCCTAGCACGAATGGCGGCCGCTGCAGGTCCGCAGTCGCCCAGAGATAGTGAATGTACTCACCAATAATCAACCTCACCAAAGAAGCGGTCGCTTGGAGTTATGCGTCTACCAGCAATAATTACACTTGTTTGGATTTATTATGCATGTCAATGTTGCTGGCACCTGCTGGCTAGTTGGTCCACTGCAGTGATTCACAGGTAATTAGCATGGAGGCGGTTCCCGTCATAACCTGACTAACTGGGAGCGACTACAAATGGTGGCGAAAATATTGGGTCACCCACAATATATGGGCTTTACGAAACAGATACTTTCGTCCTAGCATGGGAAGGTAATTTCATTTTGATAGGATTCCATTGCTAGTATTTTTTACATTTACACCGTATCATGCATGTCGGTTACTGGTCATATTAAAGGGAGACCACAGTCCGCGTAGGTTATGTGCAACTATCAGACACCCCTAAGTACGAGCGGAACCGTATAGTCGTACACAACGCATGCCTCGGAATCTATCCCACTCAAAGGTACCTGATAATATATAGGAGTCGTCTCTAAATTATATTGGAATTGGCCAGCCGGATTTTTTCATCAGTTCACAATACTTAGTCGCCGGAATCCTCATCGGCTCGCCGGAATTTCTCCGTCGGCTTATATGTGCCAACCTCGCCTTCTGGAGTCGCTAGAATGATTCTAACAACGGTGCCCTTAAGCCACTGCCGGTGCTAAAGGAGGGAGATTTGTTCAAAAGGGGCGGGAACGGAAGCCTGAATTGCACAGGGTCTGCTGTTTTGGTCGGCGGCGCTCTGGCAATTGAATGAAACACACAGAAAACTGATGAGTGCCCACATTGAGCTAACAGAAAGAGTCTTATGCCAGTCAGGGCCTTGGTACTGAACGGAGAGTCAACCTTTTCCAGGTAAACCTTTTCCAGCACGGTCCCGTGAAGCCCAATTGAGTCTACGTGTCAATTATTTAACCACCTGTGGCGAACAGGAATATTGTTACGTTAATGACGGTTCAAACGTCGACCCGGGGTCAACTGCGCGGGTCAGAAGGCCTCAAGCGTGAGGGAGCGGATCAAAAAGATATGATGCCTCCCTCTAAGGGCCTCCGGAACGGCCTTGAGCCCACTCATCTTCTACAGATCATGTTAAATCCCATTATTTTAAAGCCAACTGTTTCGGAAAAAACAGACAAAATAAACTCAAGCTGGCTGCTAAATACCATCAAACCCAGGAACGGACTTGACTTATAGCTTGTTTACGGAGGGACGCTAGATGATGTCATCAGCTGACGGCTGATGATTAAATGCAGAATTTGTCCCTTGTTACGTAAGAGTGCAAAATATCCCATCATTCAACGTATGTTATGAAGGTGATGCAGAAGTGTAGTAAGTCACATATTCAAATAGCCAAGGGAAATGATGCATATGACGTTGGCGGCACGTAAAATTACCTTCGATAATTGCGGGTAAAATTCATCGGCGCATGTCCGACTGCTGTTCTAAGGCTAAGGCACCAGTGCCAATAGGGACGAAACCTGAGCGATCACGGGCCGCCCTACAGAAGGTCGGAACAAACAAGCTTCTGTTCAAAACATGCTGAGAAACCATGGGAGACTTAAACGTTTTCAGGGCATTGAAACTAAAAGAATGACATGCTTTACAAAAGGGGCCACGCTGTAATTAGTTGGTAGACACCTAGTCTGCCATGATAAAGTCAGTCGTCTCTGTAGATTGCACACAATTTTGAGAGGACGCACATTACCATTTCCAAATGAAATAAGCCTATTTTCAAAGGATAATTGGACTTTTTCTTGGCAGGACGGCGCGATACGCCATCTGGATGGCTTGCCACCCTGAGAGCGGAGGTCAGCCCTGCTATAGAGCCAACGCTAGGACCGTCCAGGAAGGTCGCCGAGACACAAGCGCTTCAGCAGTTCACGGAGACCCAAAGGGACCGAGGCGATGACGACAGCGATGACGATGTCTTTGCAGATCCCCCGTCACGTCACGTTTGATATGTCAGCGCCCGCAGTGGTCGGCAGCAACCCCCCCCCCCTCCCCCGCCTGTGGCTGACCCGACGGCCGGTGCGCACAACACCCTGTCGGATCTCCTAGGCAAGATGCACAAGCCCATTCTTCCAGATCTGGACGATCACCCTGAGCATGGTCCGACATGGGACAAGGTGCTGTTAGCATTCGGGACTGACTGGTGCGCGCACAGTCTGCAGGACTGTGTCGAGCAAAATCGAGCGCTGGGTCGCAGAACATGTCATGTCAAGTTTAGGTCATGTAACGACAAGTTGGGTAGTTAAACAGACAACGCACCATAGAAATGGTCTCATGCAGATTGTTTTCTCCCATTTCAGTGCTATGGTCATTGCATGTTCATCAGATGCCTCGTGGAAATATCCCGCCTTTCAGTAAATTCCTCTAGCTACAGGCTTAGGCTTAGTGGGGCTTTGCTGTCTGAGTCCTTTCTATTCGTTCCAAATACACAGTTTGAGGTGATGGCACGTATTAAAGTCTAAATGTGCTTAGGGAAGTGTGCAAGATATCTGATGTGTGCATGCATTGAAAAATAGAGGTGGTGCGCGCAGGAACCTACAATGCTTGTATTGGAGCACTCAGCCGCTCACTACATGCCTGTACCGGGTGCCGGCCCGGCTCAGGCTGCTGCTCTGCGTAGGGCTGGAAAGAAGTGCGATTTAACGTTGCACAGTCTTCGTTTTCTTTGTGGCTACGGAAGCGCGGGTGGCTTGATAAGATGATGTGTGATGATGGTGTTTGATGGTGTATTTGATGGTTTTATGATGATGATGTGTTTGCCTGGGGACGGGAAACTGTATGCCGTGCTTGGTGCACGTCCCCTTTTTGACTGCATAAATCACTAGTAAAGCTTGTGAATGCTGTCTTATTGTGTTTGTAAGAAGTCCTTTGAACGGAATGTGTCATGCCTAGTTTAGGCGGGAATGCGTCTAAACTGTCGTCGTCCCGTGTCTGCTAAGGTGTATTCTGTCGATCTGAGTACACTGCATGGCATGTTGAAGCTGATGATCCTCGTTCATATCACTGCTCACGATTTGTAGGTCTTCGAGTGTTAAGCCGGGATTATTGTACGCGGATCACTGTACAATTGCCATAAGAAGTCAATGGATGTCCGGTACAGTGTACCATCTCATTTAAATGCTAGGTCATTAGAAATAATACAGTCGAAGGGGTTTCAACGAAATGATACGAGGTGTCAGGTGACGTAGCGCGAGACCTATCTGCCCCAATGCGGATCCCGTGCGGTGAGTATTCTCGTGGGATTATCCGGGATTCCGGTTTGGCGCCGTTTTCACACGAATTACTAGTTCTTTATGCAAGCAAAGTCTCGTCGTTTTCAGAATGGGTACCCAGGAACGTGTGCAATGACTAATAATTTTCACTCGTCCATAGATTCCCATCAGAGCTCTAGTTTCGCCAAATTTGTTGAGGAAAGCAGTGAGCACAGGATTGACCGGCCTGGGGTGACGGTAAACATTAAGTTTGAATGTACTAAATTAATACAATTGGGTCTAGATCTGGGTCTGAATGCCCATTATTTTCATTGTTACATTACATGCCCATTCGCCTCCTAATGCGGGCACCTTGGGTACAATTCATAAGAGCACATTTGGTTTCCTATTGCTTTATGTTTTCCTTTGGTTTCTAAGGACTGAGTGGCAAAAGGGAGTCAGAAATTGGTAATGAGTTTGAAGGTATTGCATCTATCAAGAGCCTTCAAGGGGGCCTGCATTACGCGGGATTTTCATCAGGATGACGTGCTATTTTGTAGATATCCACGTCTTTACGGCAGAGTAAGGTGGGAAAAGGAGAAGGGGGCGGGGCGATTTGCCGCGATTTGTCCGCGGCCCGAGAAGGCCGAGGCCCTCAACGAAATGCGATCCTAAGCCCCCTGGACCACGTGACGATCTTATAACCATTGGATGGCTCTGTTGGCGTCCAAACTACTCAGAAAAAATGCATAGAAACAGTAGAAAGAAGTTAACTAAAGAAATGGGAAGTTTCGCTGCATTTCCATCGCTTTCATCTCATATATGCTCGACAGTGTAGGTTTTAGTGGCCTGAGCTTTCCTGTTCCAAATACTGTTTCTCGTCGTCCTTGAAAAGCTAGTTGTTCAGCTACAGCGGATTTAAACGTATCTAACAAAATGGTATTATGAATCTATTTCTCGTCGCCTCTGATAATTCGTAAGATAAAATATTTCTATTAGAACATCAAAAGCTGGGCCGTCTCGGTAAGCACTATTTCTAACACCACTGACGCGGTTGCTAAGATACGCATTTACTAAAACAATATGCCCCTGCAGCCTCGGCAAAACTAGGGAGATTTCTAAACGCGTAAGATGCCACCAAATACCCGTAAAACTCTCTGGGCAGAAAGTCTCCAGCGACTTGGAAACCAATATTCGTTGTCCAGGCCGGGCCTCGGTCCAGACCGCTAGGCGTGACCGGCTGAATTAATTTGGTTGTAAACAGCACCGTCCGGCATTTGGTGTGAGCTGGTTGTTCGACTTGTGTGAGGTAAAACTTCATGTTTTGTCACGTGTACATACAACTAAACGGAAGAGCCAAAAGTTTGAGAAGTTTCTTATGCATGTGTTGATGTCAATGTTGTACAGGTCCCTTGCTTATTTCAATTGATGCGGACCGTTTCAAGAAGCGTGAAGCCTTTGCGGGCAATATCCCGTAGGCTACGTCGTCTGACGTTAGGTCAGAAATCAAGACAATCAAAATATGAATAAATAATTTGTTTCCACAGATATCAACATATGGGGGCTCCATTAGGAGTGTGGCACTCATGCTCAGTAAAACTATGTGCTGTTTGCATGCCCTCACATTGTATCTCTTGTAAAGCTCAAGGGAGGGTTAGAAGTATTAGGAAATAATTCAACAAGAGTACCATTGGGCATCTCCTATATTTGACAGACTTTCAGGCTGTTTTCAGACAGACTTTCATGCAAAAGGATGTTCACCTGTTCTGGTTTAGTTAGTCTGCCAGCAGGTAATTGCTGTTGGAGTGATTTGATATAGACAAAATATTGCCTACCACTTTTTGGATCTATCCATTGTCATATTTGTGATTATCTAAATTTATAACCACCTTTGCCTCAGTCATCATGGTGCTGGCGATACTGCAATAAAAGGAAGAAATTTCCCTGCCCTGCTTCCCTTTAGGTAAAATGGCAGGGACATCTGTGCCTGGGCACCAAACCCTCAGGCTCTGGATCACTTAGTCCAGCATCACAACCTTGATTGTGCAGGACATTCAGTGTACTGACACTCATGATGACATTAACTGGCAGATATCAGAACTTATGTTTTGTGTTGTTTGACATCACATGTAGTGTGGTATCTATGCCAAACAAAAAATGTCATGGCCAAAGAGTATCCCAGATATGTTGTATCTGGTGTAGTTGTCCCTGATTCACTTATCCTGGTTCATCTATTGGTGTTTAAGTTGTCCTGGTCCACTGGTTACTGGATCTATTGTCCTGCATCAGTTCTCACTGGTTTAGCTGCTGGCTCGGCTGTTCATGTGCCAGCTATAAGAGAGCTAGCTGGCACTGGGTCAGTTATCCTGGTTCAGCTCTCACTGATTCAAGCATGGGGTCAATTCCCCTCTCTCAAAAGTCTTTCCAGAACAGTTTCTGAACAGTTCAGTTATAGTAACCATGCCACAGTGTGCATAGTTATAGACAATTGAATAGCACATCATGTGGTACCAAAAATTTAGAGGCATCTGGCAAGGTTGCTGACCTACAGCAAGTCAAAGTCTGGCACAAATTCAGCAAAGTCAACTTCTAGGGAACTGTTCAATCTGATGCAGTGACAGTGTTAGATGAAGCCATACATCAGAGGTACTTTCTTAGGCAACATAACAATTGAAGGAATAAATTCATTGACCTAGGATCAGGTATGAAGGTCAGACCAAGGTCAAACCAATCTGCTTTGTTACTGTGGGGCTTGCCATATGGGGTAGTTTCTGGTGCCTGTTTCAAATTTATTGATAACATGAGCTGCATTATACACCTTCCAGGGGCTTCTTAAAGACTAATAATATATAGCTTACTGACCTAAGATGATACAGGCAACACTTTGTATTTAGGAATATACTACATAGCATAATCTTTGTTGCTTATTCAGTTGTAAAACTCAAAGCAGTCTTGTATGGTTTCAGTCACCATGACATTCAAAAGGTCAAACAAGGCCACTGGCCTTAAATGAGCATAGGACCTTTTGCTTAGAATCAGCATCTAGGTTCTGGGGGGCACTTGGAACACCAGCCTGGAGTTTGACCTTATTTGACCTGAAGGTCATGATCTAGGAACCTTAAGCTCTCACCCAAATGAGTTCACATACAGGCTAACACACCCTGTGGATTTGGTATCTCTAACTTTTGTAGTTTTGAGATCTCAGGGAGTCAAATTGACGCCCACCCGGGCAGAGGATATCCAACGGGCCGCCCAGACGTGTGTTAGTCGTGATGTCCTCAATGTTTAATGTCATTGAACCAAAATATGCTTGACCATGATATGACCAATGATATACTTAACCATGTTTCAGTGCCAAAATGAAGTGGATGCTGGTGCTAGTCCTGTGCCATTTGGTTCTTGTAATACATGCTGAAGATGAGGAGAAACATGAAGGAAGAATAATAGACAAGGTCAGTGAATGTTTGACACATATGCATAGCCCATGTGTATGATGCATGTGAACCAGAGCATTGCTATTTAGTCAATTAAGAAAAGTAAGGATGTTTGAATTATTTGTTTTTCATAGTTCAAGTGGATGTTGCAAAGCTTGTGTACCAGTTTTTTTGTTGCATCAGACCTTTCCTGAGTTGTGCATCACCGGTTTATATGCATGTAAACACCCTCAGAAACTGAGTGATGCTGATCACTTTGAGGGTGATGAACATAATACGGACTACGACCATGATGCCTTCCTTGGCGACGAGGCCGAGGAATTCAACGACCTGACCCCCGAAGAAAGCAAGGAAAGATTATCGTGAGTTCTGAGCAGTTTGTGTGCATGGGGTTTTGGACAATCTGGCGTGTTCATCTTTTAGGTCCCTTGCGGAGCTGACTGGCTGCAGGTCATTTCTGCGAGACCAAAAATAAATGTTTAAAAGATTCATGCCAGTGTCTGCTAAAAAGTGCGGTTTAAAAAACTTCCCTCCCCATCTTTTATAAAAGAGGGAAGATGCCAGGGCAGGCCACATGTTAGGTCATAGGTGCAGTGCTCTGGCTGGAGGGTGCTCCACTGCGGGACCTGGTCGGGAAGCCGTCCCGTCACGTCGGACGCTAATCGGGGGACAGGCATGGGTTGATGCCTGCAATGTTGGCCTGGGTGTCTAAACTAGCCAAGCTGTGATGCTGGTATTTGTGCATGTGTGTGAAGAATGGACTTAACGTTTCATGATCACTGCTGCTGAGTTAGATAAGAGCTGTGTGATAGACCACTGTCGAGTTGGATAAGAGCTGTGCGATAGACTGCTGTCGAGTTGGATAAGAGCTGTGTGATAGTTCATGCAGAGTTTACACAATTTGTTTATGCAATGAGTTGGAAAAATGATTTCCCTTTGCACTAGTGCTGGAGCATATGGTATTCATGCATTTTGGGTTATGACCATAATCACACAAGAACAGGGAGACAGTGTCATGCCCTCTAATTCCAATTTTAGCAAATTAGGTGGTCATGTTGTTGGGTCATTACAAATTAACCCAACAATATAAACACTTTCCACAGCTTTTACACATGTACATCCATAAATACTTGCCACCATTTTAAGCATAGCAAACTCTAAAATCTGCAAGTTATTTAAACCTTGCTGTTCCACATGATTTAGCCATATTCATGTCGTACGTGTTTCTATCTGCATTTTGATACAGGTTACGCACGTTCACTGTTCGTACTTTGTAACACAGAGTGTGCGTGGAACTGAATGCATCTTCTGCTTTATAACAGGCTGATTGTGGACAAGATTGATGTGGACGGAGATGGCATGGTTTCGGAAGAAGAGCTGATTGGTTGGATAAAACAAGCACAAAATAGGTACATGGAGACAGAAGTAGAAAGACAATGGGAGGTGAGCGATTGGCTCGAAATAATTTTGCAGCATATGAGTTTGTACTTCAGCAGCATGGTGGCTTTACCGGTATGGTTCTTAATATCGCTGTCATAATTGGCTATGCTCATGCATCTATGATTGAACTAAGACGTGCAACTTTAGTATGTTGCTTTACTTGCAGCAAGTTTGTATATTTTGCTCGTGGTTTATGCAGTTTTATGTATCATGAACATGCACGTTGCCCTTAATGGGCTTATAACCGTTGCGTGACAACTCATGTAACCTGTCGTCCGCTGCACAGTCTCGTTACCGGATATCACGGTGTCCGGGAGCCGCGGTCGGCTTGTTCTTACGGCTGCGGAGCTGTGGCGAAACGTATCGCGCTGCGTTTGACAGGCGCACGCACCGGCGTCGAAGCAGGACAAGGAACATATCACGTGGGACGACTACCAGCAGTCGACGTACGGGTTCACGGGCGAGGCCCAGGAGAACGAGGAGGGCGACGCGGCCGCGTACCAGCGCATGATCGGGCGCGACCAGCGCCGTTGGAACGCCGCAGACGTGGTATGACTGCCGCCGGGCGACGCGTGTCTGGCCCCGTGCCGCACCGGGGATGGTGGGCGCCGCCGGACCGGCTGGGTCTCAAGTCAGGTGCTATGCTGGTCGGTCTCCAAATACATGGTGCCCCACTCCCTCCCCTTAAAAGTTATCACCGCGCACATGGGCGTTAAAGTTTGTGTTGTAACTGATACGTCCGCGTGGTGCGTCAGATACATGTCTGTGAATGGTGGTGTCGCATACAGTTGTCAGGCAGGGAATTTCCGTATGCTGTGCACACCGCGACCCGCTGTTCGCTCGCTGTACGCAATGACTCGCTGTTTACGGAATCTGCACGAGCCGTGCCCGGCTGGAGAGTCTGGCTGATCTCGGGACGTGCGGCTGGTCCGGTGACGCGGGCCGTTGAAAGACGGTCGTCTGCGTATGGTGCGGTGCAGGACAAGGACGGCAAGCTGTCGCGGCTGGAGTTCAGCACCTTCCTGCACCCAGAGGAGGTGGAACACATGCGCGACATCGTTGTTTTGGAGACCATCGAGGACATCGACAAGAACAACGACGGCAAAATTACCGTCGATGAGTATATTGGTAATGAATGACTCGGCGGTTCGGTAGATCAGGCGACAGCTGACTCCAATATGCTGTGTCACATATCTTGTCAGCATTCCATTTCTTTTCGAAGGTGTCTATGTCCCAATTTTCGGGTGGTTAAGTCTGGGGGGGGGGGGGGGGGGGGGGGGAGCGAGGATCTCGTGGAGAGTTGTACCAGCTGCAGGTGGACTATGTTGCAGCAGGGGTCGGGTAGGACACGCAGGGAAGGCCCTGCTGCGGGAGCGAAGGTGTCGGAATCGGCGCGGTCACTTGCGCCTCGAAAGCTGGGAGGCGTAGCGTGGCGCGTCGTGACGGGCTGTCACGTGGTCGGCAGGCGACATGTTTGACGAGGCTGACGGAGCCGAACCTGACTGGGTGCAGCACGAGCGCGAGCAGTTCAAGACGACGCGCGACACGGACGGCAACGGATACCTGGATGCCGACGAGGTTGGTCGGGTCGGCCAGCACGTGTTGGGGGGAGGGGGCGCTTCTGCCCCGCGACTGGTGCAGTGTCTCCGCTTCGCCCTGGGCATCAGCGAGGGTGCATTGCTTCGCCGTGGTGCACGCTTTGGGTAGCCGTACAGAGGATCTAGCCTTTCGTGAAGTCGGCTTTGCCCGTCGCGTGAGAGTGAATTCAAAATTAGCCTTGAATGTGCCGACACACCTCGGAGTTCTGGTCATTATCTTCACCGCTGTGGTGTCCTGACTTGCCCGCGTGCGTTGTGCGTTTAAGTCTATTATGTGTGCTGTATTGGACTGGACTGCACGAACCACCAGGTGCGTCGCACTGTCGCATGGTTATCGTCTGCAAGACTTTGAGCTGTCTGCACACTATCTGCTCGCGTTTGGTGCATGTGTCGCCCTCTGTAGTGGCACGAATCACGCAGTGTTCGTGCGTGTCGTGCGGCAGGTGCGAGCCTGGATCATGCCCTCCGACTACGACCACTCGCTGGCCGAGACACAGCACCTGGTCCACGAGGCGGACGCCGACGGCGACGGCATGCTCAGCCGCCAGGAGATCCTCGACAAGTACGACCTATTCGTCGGCTCGCAGGCCACAGACTTCGGCAACGCGCTCTATAGTCACGACGAACTTTAGCGGCGGCCGGCCGCGCTTGCTCGCTTGTTTTCGTGGGGGGGGGGGGGGGGGCGCCACCAGCGCCGCGCCAGATCTGGGCCGAGGTGACTGCGGCGCTCGCGCTCGCGTTCGGTACGGACTCGCCGCGGGGCGGCCGGCGCCCCTTGCTGGCAGTGGTAGTCCATATAGGAAAGAAAGATTCTCACGCCTGTTCCTGCTTGTGTGGAGGGGGCGCACGTCGCACGTGGGTGCCGCGCTGCCAGGAAATTCACCTGGCGCTATGGCTGAACTTTTTGAATACAGTCAGAAACGTTATGCTTATTAAGTTATGGGAATGTTTGTCACGTCTGTGCCAAATCTGCTGTTTATACCTTTGACAAATAAAGTTTTAACGACATAAAAGTGTATAAGTATCATGGGAGTAATTCAGCAATAGCGGTAGAACGGAACAGCCTTATCGTGGAAGCTTGTGATCTGGAGCGGGCCAGGAGAGCAGACTACCAGTGACGTGGTACCATCGCATCCAGCCAGCAACCAGCGCAAGCCAGGGTACGATTGCCGACTGCCGACGCAACCGTTTGCGGAGTGTCACGACTGTGGTCTCTGGTTGACAGTGATTGCTAATGTGATAAGATTGCAAACCCACTTTCTCACAGTGCGTGTGTGGGTGTGAGTGTGGGTGTGGGTGTGGGTGTGGGTGTTTGGTGTGGGTGTGTGTGTTTGTGTGTGTGTGTGTTGTGTGTGTGTGGTGTGTGTGTGTGTGTGTGTGTTGTGTGTGTGTGTGTGTGTGTGTGTGGTGTGTGTGTGGTGTGTGTGCGTGCGTGCGTGCGTGCGTGCGTGCGTGCGTGCGTGCGTGCGTGCGTGTGTGTGTGTGTGTGTGTGTGGTGTGTGTGTTGTGTGTGTGTGTGTGTGAGAGAGAGAGGGAGAGAGAGATACATTATATATATATATATATATATATATATATATATATATATATATATATATATATATTATATATATATATATACGCATACACTTGTATGTTTGTTGCGTGCGTGTGTGAGTGCATGTGCTTAAGTGGCATGTTTTTATCAATGTATGTTTTGTTACATGCAAGGGCTAATGTACATTTAATCATTTTCTTGCAAATGTCTGCTCGATTGTTCGAATGAAAATGCCTTTCTTTTCGGTAGGTCATAAATCAGTTATCCTATAGTCATGAATATTAGTTTGATTTAGCCAACGTTTGAAGGACATTCACTTTCCCTCTTCTCAAAGCAATGTAAGACAGTCGGACGGAAAGCATTTGCATATGGCGGAATACGGGGCATGCTCTACGAGAACTAATC